ATATTATTATATTATATATTTATGTTCTCTTATTTTATCCCTTTTTAAAAAAAAAAAAATAAATTTAAACACACACAAATTCTCTTCCCCCCTCATCAAAAACTCAAGAGCCCAGCGGGGTGTGAGAGCAGCTCGAGGGTTTTCCTCTCCCCGTGGGTAATTGGCTACTTTAAAGCTTGAAAAGCCAGCTTGTCATCGGGGGACAAGCAGCAGCCATCTGGTCACTGACAGGGCCAGTGTCACCATCAGACAAATCACCCTAATCAGCCAGCGTGGGAGAGAGCCTCAGAGCTGGGATTGCACTACAGCAGGCAGGATTAAACATAAAAACCCCCAAAAACCCCAAAATGAGAAATTAAACTGCAAATTTCACTGAATTTTTGCGTTTGAAACCAGAGCCAAACACAAAATATTCAATTAAATTGTAAATTTCACTGAATTTTTCCATTTGAAACCAGAGCTAAATAAAAAATATTAAATTAAATTGTAAATTTCACTGAATTTTTGCATTTGAAACCAGAGTCTGGATGCAAACGCTGCTCATTCCCCAGTACTACAGGGCTAAAAATGGCAAGAAATCAAAGAAACATTTTGTTCTCGTGTCTTGAATTAGCTCCTGCCTGGCAGAGCCGCAGACTGTGCTGAGAAGGTTCACACCTAAGGGATTAATTTACACTGGAGACAAATTATTTGGAGGTTTGTGAACATCCTCCCAGCCAAGACAGCACCTGAGACCTTAAAACCCCAAAATCTTAAAAACCTGAGACCTTAAAACCCCCAAAACCTTAAAAACCTGAGACCTTAAAAACCCAAAATCTAAAAAACCTGCGACGTTAAAAACACAAAATCTTAAAAACACAAGACCTTAAAACCCCAAAATCTTAAAAACCTGAGACCTTAAAACCCCCAAAACCTTAAAAACCTGAGACCTTAAAAACCCAAAATCTAAAAAACCTGCGACGTTAAAAACACAAAATCTTAAAAACACAAGACCTTAAAACCCCAAAATCTTAAAAACCTGAGACCTTAAAACCCCCAAAACCTTAAAAACCTGAGACCTTAAAAACCCAAAATCTAAAAAACCTGCGACGTTAAAAACACAAAATCTTAAAAACACAAGACCTTAAAACCCCAAAATCTTAAAAACCTGAGACCTTAAAAGCCCCAAAATCTTAAAAGCCCCAAAATCTTAAAAAAACCAAGACCTTAAAACCCCAAAACCTTAAAAACCCTGAGACCTTAAAAACTCCAAAATTCTTTAAAAAAGAGACCTTAAAAGCACCAAAATCTTAAACCCCCAACAAAACTTAAAAGCCTCCAAAAACTTAAAAAACTCAAGACCTTAAAACCTCCAAATCTTAAAAAACCCGAGACTTTAAAAACCCTGAGATCTTAAAACCCCCAAAATGTTAAAAACCCGAGACCTTAAAAACCCCAAATCTTAAAAACCCCCAAAATCCTAAAAACCCTGCGACTTTAAAAACCCCAAAATGTTAAAACCCCCAAAATCTTGCAAACCCAAGACCTCAAAAGCCCACGTGGCACCAGCTGCTGCCTCCTCGTCCTGCCCCTTCCCACCTGGAGGGAGCTGTGCCCTGTCCCAGGCGAGGACCCCCCTCCCTCAATCCCCAGCGCTCCCCAATCCCCGCTGGGCCCCCCCTCCAGGGTTATTTTTTAAACAGACTCTCCCTTTTCCTCACCAGGCTGCTCTGTGCTGCAGAGAGCAACATTTTGGGTAAAATTGCTGCATTTGGGATATTTTTTTCCATATTTTATATGTGGGGAAGAAGAAGAAGGGGACAATTTACCCAAATCCACCCCCCAGAAGGAGACAAGTGACATTTCCCGAGCCCTGAGTGACTCTTACCTGGGTGGTGCATCCCACCTGGAGGGAAGGGGTGTGGGTGAGGGGGGTGTCCCCCAGTGGGTGCAGCCCCGGAGGGGGGACCAGGAGCACCTGCCCCGGGTGGCATGGGTGGGGGTGGCATGGCAGGAGGCATGCCAGGGGGCATCGCTCCGGGAGGTGGTACTGGTGGGGGGAATGATCCTGGGGGTGGGAGGCCTGGGAAGAGAAACAAAGAGAATTTGGTTAAATCTATAAAAAAATAAAGATATTAAAAGCAAATAACAACTGTGAGGTGATTGGGAAGGA